TGCCTAAGCCATCCCTCCACTTTAATGGTTTCTCCGAAGTGGCTGAGAGGCAGGGCTTCAGCTCTAAACACTTCGTGATACTATCACGATCAGACATACGACATAGGTTGGCTGTTGGGGTGCATGTGGTGAACTACCAGGTGGTTGTAAAAAGGATGTGACGAGGTGCCCTGTGGTTTACTTTATAAAGGCCCGAGTATTTTCATGCACAAAAACGAGATTGAGGCCATAGAGGAGTTACTGGGGTGTTAATGCCGGAGGAGACACCTCCCTAACCGGTGCTCTAGTCTGAGTTTCTGAGGAATAGCACTCCTGTGGGGTGACATGTTCCCAGAGAGAGAGTGACGGGGCACCTTGCGGACCTCAGGCGAACCAGCCGTCGCCTCGGTATTTGAATTAATGTCACTGCTCAGCCTTGCCTCATCCTTCCCGATTTTCTCCCTCTGCCTGTCAAGTCTTTGCCATCTGACCTGACAACTCTTTGAGCATCCCCTTAATTCAGTGACCTCATCTACCAGCGCTATCTCGTCATCAAGATCAGATATCTGCGGCTTCCTTTTCCTGAGCTTCACCATGGTTAAAATCAGAAGAATACAATAGCCAAAACGATAATCTATTCACCACACTTTCAGTAAATATCAACAAGTAAACAAGGAAATTCAGTACATAATACACACGACAAGAAAAGGTAAATATAAAATGAACATAAAACACTTATCCGAAAGTTAAAAGGTAAAAACTGGTAAATACCAAAACCAAAATTCACGAGAATACTGCATTAAAATTAAATGATAAAGTACGAAAACTAATTGTTTCGCAGTAATTACGTTACTTTCCAAAGGCACTTTAATTAAAAATATTACTTTAAAGCCAGTGTTATCACATTTAGCTTTCAGGTTGTTTGGCGAAATCTCTTAAAATACCAAAGACATGATATATAACATCACCAAGACACAACACAAGATTACGCAACCAGCTGGCTCCGTAGAATACCAAAGACATGATATATAACATCAATAAGACACAGCACAAGATTACGCAACCAACTGGCTCCGTAGAAATACCAAAGACATGATATATAACATCAATAAGACACAGCACAAGATTACGCAACCAACAGGATCCGAAAAAATACCAAAGACATGATACATAACATCAACAAGGCAACACAAAATTACGTAACCAACTGGCTCCGCAAAATACTAAAGACATGATACGTAACAAGACAACACAAGATTACGCAGCCAACTGGCTCCGCAAAAACAGACTTTTCAATCCCGACGCTGCCAACCAAAAACGTCCTGTAGGGCGAGGCTGTCCCTGGACGGGCCGTAGGAGCATATGAGAAAAATCTCGTGCGTCCTGTGTCGGCACATAAGAATAAAAGGGTCGGTACTCAGCAGGTTAGAGATAATCATGTGGTAGCGGAATTAGCTCTCAATTATCATGGCCAAAGCTCTATGCATCTAACCTGACTGCAGGAAAAGCCTGAATGCCGTGTTGCATTGTCAATGTACTCTCGTTAAGCGAGAGTACGAAAAGTTACAAATAAAAGAAAGTAAGAAAACACGAATGAACTGAGAAATCACCAAACAGACATAACATAAAGATCATAATGTGGGTTAAACTTCTCACTTAGTTAAAATAAAGAACATAAAACGTGATGAAATAAAAATAAAAGCCAGTTCATTAAATCATTATTATTAAGCCATAAAAACAATACACAACTAAAACCTCCATAAAAAAAAGAGCAATCTTAATAAAAACAGAAAAACAATACCTTTAAAAAACAGCTTCGTAAATCCTTCGTAAAATCCACGTAAGAATAAATCCAGAAATAAAAAAAAAGTTCGTTAAAAACGCCGGCTTTCTGAGGGAAAGACCGAGCGTAGTTCACAGAGCCAAAGGTGTGCGCAACTCTCTACAAGGTCGTTGACCCGACCTTTTATACGAACAAGGTCGTGCGCCAAGTTCGTTAGTTTCGGAGTCTGCGCAGCAAGACTCGTTATTCTTAAAAGTGTCGTCTGCTCCTTGAGACGTTTATAGCTTTAATCTCAGTTATTGTACGATTGCTCATTTTCAGTTGGTATTTGCAGGGGAGGTATTTAAGAAAAAACATATGACATTTTTTATAGAAATAAAAGGAAAATAAAATATATACAAGATTTTAAATATGAAACGAGATAAAATTACGCTGGCTAGCCAACCAGGCTCTGGCGCCAAACAACGATACACCGTTTTCTGTCGCCAGCTTTCAGAAATACGTTGTTTGCAGCGTTACTCCAGGTGTTTCCGGCTGAAAGTTGGTATACAGAATCATGTTATCCTCCTCCTCAGTAAAGACTACAGCAAGGTGTCCGCGTTCAACTCGTCAGCGTCTTCTGCAGGCAGGTCCTCTGCAGCGTCGCCTTCTGCGCCATCTATAATCGTTCGTTACGGCCAGGCGCCAGGGATAGTCAGGGGGGGGGACTAGTAAGAAGTAGGTTACGAAGCCTGACACAGGGGCGAGAGCGGCAAGTAGGAAGCTGGGACGTCAGCTCACTACACCATTAGCTTCCCAATGTTATAAACAAGCCTTACATCGGATGTAAACTGCTTGAGAATAGCTGTACAGAAGCTCTTAAAATTCAGTTTGATGAAAAGAGAGACGAAAATTGTGAATATTTCTGTTAATTTTCAAAATCTTTCTTTCAATGAAAATTTATTATTCAATTAGCTATAAAACTACACACATTTCTTGTTACATGAAGTAGTCTTGACTGGTTTCCGAGTTACAGTATAAACGAAAATGGTACCTTTTGTATATGCTATCTTCAGCAACATGGTGCATGTATAAACGCAGTTATTGCTTGACCCAGACCACTTGTATTTGTGTTTTCTAGCATCTACATGTGCTTACATATACATATATGTGTATGTGGGTGTACATGTACAATTGCGTACATATGTGTACATGTAAATGTACATAAAACATGTGCATACATATACTTGTGTCGCGTCGCGTTCGTTTATTTTTTTAGATAAAGACTCGCCACTGCTCAGGCATTATTGTCGAACCTTCAAGTTAAATATATGTGAGGTCTGTCAAAATCGAAACATGTACACCACATTCATAACGAAAAAAAGACATGTAAAATTGTATGATGATTTTTAGATTCTATTTTTTTCATCATAAAACCTTCAAATTGGCAGGATTTTTATCCTCCCTAGAAGGATATCAGTTGGTAATTGTTGTTGTTATAATTTAGCTCGAGAAGGGATTAATATACTGGTATAAAAACTGCCAACCCGCTCGAGTGCCTTGGACTCACTGACGCCGCTCACTGCCGAGCTTTTCTTCGTGGAGGTTTATATTCGCGTGGGTTATTCAACCTTCGTATAAGAGTGTGAAAATGAGTGACTCATTTAAGACAAATCCCCCCTCCCCCCCCTAGACCCAACTACCTCACCATCTGCGGGACGGTTCCTTCTACAAGATTTTAGAACATCCACAGAGGTACACAGAATAGATTAACTTTAAATATTATTGCTTTGACTTCTCTTTCCATAATAACTATTCTGTAAAAATGCAGTGCAGAAGGTCAGCAATTTTGTTATTAACTTTTTTTTTTATTTGATTTCAGTGCAAGGTTTTAAGCATACAGTAATGATAATACATTCTCTCTCTCTCTCTTTCTCTCTCTCTCTCTCTCTCTCTCTCTCTCTCTCTCTCTCTCTCTCTCTCTCTCTCTCTCCTCTCTCTCTCTCTCTCTCTCTCTCTCTCTCTCCAAACCATTGTATTTTACAGTTTTATAATAACTGCAGTTAAGAATAATTAGGATATTTGATGCGGCAGAACCGTGAGCATTACTATTCATGTGTAATATTAAAGCACGATTTGGTTACACACCAAGGTTATCGGGGGGGGGGGGATAAAAGACTAGTTTGAATATTCATTCACTTTATTAACATTTTATTTTTTCTAATTTACCAAAATATATGCGCAATAAGACAGGTGTAACATGAACCAAAGTTTCATTTTGAATTTGGCGGACTTTCTTCGCTGAGAATCGTATCTGCTATGTAAAAAAAAAATATCACGGAGAACAGACAATTCAAGCATACAGTAGCGCATGAATAAAAGAAAACACAAACCTTGATAAATAAATCCAAATATTCCTCAAAGTTTACTTAACGAGAAGAGAATATAACGAAGCAGATTGCCAAGGGATTGTTGACGTCTGCGGCCACTTGACAGCTGCTGCTCGAGGGGGAGTCTTGTTGGCAATGCGAGAATCCCTCGACCTCTTTCCTCTTCTGCCTCGTTGACTTGAACATGGACATGGGGGGCGGACGGCTAATACGGATAATGATTTTGGTGTTGGTGATGGTTCTGGTGTGGAAGATCTGGGATTATTCTTCCTGCCAGTGCTTGAGCCGCCGAGTTTTAACGCCGAGATCGCGAAGGGAATGTCCTCCTCGAAGCTCCAGAGCGACCAGGAGCAGAATTCGGTCCTGCAGGCGCCCGTGGATGAGGAGCACCTGGTGAGTGTTTTTATTTAAGGTGTGAAGGGGAGGCTTGGCGCAGGTGTAGTATTGTAGTTTAGCAGGTTTAGTGGTTTCTACTTTTATCTCTTAATACTCGGTGATTTTTTTTTTTCTTGTTTCCTGTTTATTTGGTGGTGGTTTAATTTGAATAACTGCTTTTGGATTTTAGTTTTGATATTACTATCCCTCTTTGTTTTTAGGGATAGTGCAGCTGATTTTATTTGTTGTATGTGTTGTAGGATATTTTCATCTGTTATTGTTCTTTGTAAATCATGAGTCATGTGTAGTGACTTGAAAGTTTTTTTTTCTTCTTATTTTATCTTATTTTCTATGTTGAGAATGTACTGTCAGATTTTCCTGCTTCCAAATAATCTGTACTTTTTCAGCTGGAGATTTTAGGTAACTTGTATTCAGAGTCATGGCTGGAATTATAGAATTATGAAAATACCATTCTCAATACATATCACAGACACATGAAGATCTTTAGAGCTAAGAACGAATCTCTAGTAGAACAGAATCTTGATTGCTGTGTAAATGTTGTAAAAATAGAGAACAGAAAGCATTTTATATTAGTTTGGTAAATCATAGTGATTAACTTTATGGCTTTCAAAATGCGAGTTTTTCCTCATAGTTTTAATACCGTGTTTTATCCATGTCTACCGATCTGTGATAGAAGGTCTACAGTGTAAAATAAAGCCAAAGAGTAATGCAGTGACAAATAATTGGTAATGCATCAGCACCTTTGGCACTCCAGTAAAGACCAACACACCTCCACAATATACAATCTGTTAGTGTCTTGTGATTGCCAGAGTAGCCATGTGATACTGTATCACTCTTAAGCCTGAACTTTAGATTATAGGCATTCCATCACAGATCTTGGTAAAGCCTTATGTGGATTTCAACAAAACACAACACTACGAATACAAAGAAAAGTAAAAAAGTCATTAAAAAATGCAGTATGGGGTTAGCCATCTTATTAACATACTTGTCAATTATTATCATTTGTAGGCCAGTGGGGGATATGCAAGGATAATAGTAAAATTCACTAGAATTTTGCCAACTTCTGTGATTACGGCAACATCGTTAGTTGCATTTTATAAAAGCAAGCAACTAACAGCGTCATATAGATTGGTCTATACTGGTCACATTTCCTTTGATTTGTATGCGACTTTTGATTATGTTTAGTTCTCTTATTGGGTTTAAATTTCTGAGTTAACAGTGAAATTTGAATAAATACAAGGTCAGTATATTTTTATAACCAGAAAAAAAAGACAAGATCATTAAAAGTACACTTTAAGTAGGTATAGTGATGCAAAGTGTAAAATTACATAAAAATAGTGCCAAGTGAATGACAGTGCTAATGTGTTCAAACCCATATTAATATATAGCAGAAAATTAATTCTAATTGACAAGCATATTTTAAAGTGAAACAGTAGAAAGGAAGGATTGTAATGTGGAAAAGGGAAAGACAAAGAGACTGGTTTCCTGTGGGTAGGTTAGTGTTAACCAGAAAGGAAAGGCTAGTTCACTTTTGATTAGTTTTGAGATTTAGAAATTGCAGAGAATAGGTTTGCATAAAAAACAAGCCATATACCTAATTGCTGTAGAGGTGTAGATTATTAGATATGAAAGTTACTGGTCTAGGGGTATGATAAAAAAATAACATGATTATGAATAGAGAATAGTCCTAGTATCATATCTAACACGGAAAATATATGCCCGTTCTTTACTGGTATTTTCGTATATAATTTTTGCTTCTGTGAAATATTTCTTGTTCTTCACCTACTCCAAAAGTCATACTTCTGCAAGGTTACCACTCCTGCTTGGATGTAGGGCAAAGGAGCAGGTTACTGAATTGAATAATATTTAATCCTGTGGTGATTAATAGGTCATGTTACAAAATTTGATTAATTTGATTTGGTTAGTAATAAGTTGGCTATTATTTTTTTCATGAATCACAATAAAAATATTAGTTATTTCTATCTTTAAAACAAAGTTTACACAGTATATTTGCGTAATTGATTAAGTAAAATTCAATAAAGTTACAGGAGACAAGAACAACCATCCACAAACTAGAAAATGAGAGTGATAAGGAGAATAAGGAAGAAAAGCAAGATCGTATACAGAAAGGAGAAGGAATTGCAATAAGGCCAATTTATAAGGAAAAGAAGTTGAATGATATGGGGGAAAATTCAGAA